TGAATATGCTACCTCCTCTTAGTAGGATGTAAACTCCTTTGAGGACAAGACTCTAACTTCTGTAGGCATCTAATAAATGCTTGCATATTGCCTGATTTCATTCGTACAGTACTATGATGTTTGCAAACTGGTTTCTTCCCCCCCCCCCCCAGCCACAGTGACCTTTTAAGGTAGGTCCCCCAGATATATCATCCCCATTTTAAAGAGGAAGAAAGTGAGGCTCCAAGGCATTAAAGTAACTTGCCCAGACTCACACAGTGACAGGTGGGATTCAAACCCAGGCTTCCTGACCATTACACCACACTGCCTTTTCAAGTAGAGTGTCTAGCAAGTAGAGACTTGGTTACATGCTAGTTCACCTAGTGTTGGGGGTGGGGGTGGGGGGGGTTGTCAGCAATCTCCAAACTTGTGAAAGAAGCCAACGAAGTTATAATTCAAATTAAAGTTAGCCTAAGCCTGCTAACTTGGTAAATCCTTGTTTCTAGAGACTCTAGAGCTAAGGGCAGGGTTGTGACCCAGTAACTCTACAATTAACCACTCCTTAAATTCCGTCCCTAGAAATGTGGTCTGCCAGATTCTGGGGAGCCTAATATGGGCAGAATGGAAAAAACAAGCAAAACAAACAAACAAACAAACAAACAAGAAAACAAAACACTGACTTGGAATCAGAAAAACTTGAATTTGAATTCTAACTCTAACACTTACCTACCTATGTGACCTTGGTGCAGCCACTTTTCCCCACCCCTATGCCTGTTTCTCCACTTGTAAAATGAGGTAGTTCTAAAGACACTGTGCTTCATTACAAGTGAAACATAGAAAAAAAAGGGAATATAGCCCCTGTATTTCTGACCACCAGGTCCAAGATGATCTTGTGGTCATCATCATAGGAAGCAGAAAATAAAGTTCTCACCTCCAAAGTGGCTCCATCAAATGGTTTAACATTGGAGCAGGAGATGATTTTCTCGGTAGAAATGAAATTTTAAAAGATGCATTACCACCTGCTTTGCCAGATTATCCTAAGGATTACAGGAGCTTTCCATCTGACTCAGAGTTGAAACTAATATAGGCTGTCTCCCCATTAGAACAGGAGCTCCTTGACAGCAAGAATTGTCTTGTCTGACTATTTGCTTTGCACACAGTAAGCACTTAATAAATGCTTTTTCATTCACACATTCACTCTTCTTTAAGGTCCCTTCCAACCCTAAAATCTCATGATTCTTAAATCAATCCTCATTATGTTAGACTACTTAGGTAGGGGAAGAGGGCACCAGTATAAAATTATGAAGTGTGAATGAGGAATATTTTAAAACAAATGAAATTTAGTACTTTTGAGCACGTACAGCAAGTTCCAAAAAAATTGTCCTGAAGGATTTTAATGCAGAGATATGGGTTATCTAGAGGCAGCTAGGTGTCTCAGTGGATGGAGAGCTGGGCCTGGAATCAGGAAGACCTGAGTTTAAATCCAGCCACAAACATTCACTACCTGTGTAACCTTGGGCAAGTCATTTAACCCTATTTGCCTTAATTCCATAATGGAAAACCATTCTGTATTTTTGCCAAAACAAAGCAAATTAAACATGAAAAGTCGGACACAAGTGAATGACTAAACTTCAACAATGAGGGCTGTGGGCTGTGTGCAACTAACTCATTATAGTAAAAATAATTCCCATTTCTGTAATGTTTTCTGGTCTATAAGTAGTAAATGATACTACATGAAATAGGAGAGCAGTCTCCTCACAACAACCATGGAAAGTAGACAAGATGGGTGAGCAGGACAGTAGAAGAAACAATAGTGGAGAGAAGAGAAAGAGTTTTCCTAGGCTTATCTAGCTGTTGAGTACCCAAAGGGAGACTGCCCTTTTTACTCAGGATACCACGACTGCTTTTCACAATGGTCTATCACAATTTACAATTGAGGGCTTCTAAAGAGCTTGTAATTACTTTGCTCTTTCAAGTAGCATTTCTTATCTCATCTTGCTTCCATTATAATTTGCTTAGCAAATCAAGTCCTCCGGCCACAAATTCTGAATTAATAAGGCTTTAGGATATAATCCAACAAAAACCCTGGGCCCATTCATCAATATCTGCCTAAATCAGGCATTCCCCCATTTGGTAGAAGAAACTAAAGAATTCCCCAGAAAACAGAACCTATGGAGAGGTTAGTCTTCTCAGAGCTTCCTTTTTCCAAAGGACCACGTGGGTCCAGGAGACTGGAGAGAAGTCACAGACTTGGCAAACAGTAATTTTCAACTGTATGATCCTGGATAAGGCATTAAGTCTCAGTTTCCTACTCTATAAAGTAGAAATAATAATACATGCACAAACTACCTCAAAAAGTCATGTTACCAAATTCTATGTAAATGCTAAAGTGCTATAAGAAGGGGTTTATTATTCTGCATCCTTCTTCTCCACCAGTACCCCTAAACCTATACTTTTGAAATCAGAGACTTGAATAATTCACAAAAGCCCATTAATCAAACTACTGTAACACCGATTTAGGATCCTGCATGGTGCCAAGGAGAGAGTACTAGATTAGAAATCAGGAGACCTAGATTCTAGTCCCATTTCTAGAATGCAATTACTGTGTTACTTTGGCAAATTACTCCCCCCTCTCTGGACCTCAGTTTCCTCCTCTGTGAAACGTGGGGTTTAGATTAGATGATCTCAGAGTTCCTTCAAATTCTGACATCCTGTGTTCTACAGTCTCTTCCTTTTAACTTTCTATATTCTCAGGTCCTTTTCTAGCTCTGATATTCTGTGCTTTTTAAGGATCATTCCAGAATTCTAACATTTTATATTCTATCTTTCAATATTCTATGATTGTTTTCAAGTTTCACAGTTGACTCTTAATGATTTCTCTTAATTAAAGGAAGAGGTAGCATAGATGATCCAAAAGCTCTGTGTGTGTGTGTGTGTCTTTATCTGTAGCGAAGTTCATAAATATGTGCTCATATTGGTATCTAGAAAGCAATAAAAAAAATTTTTAATAGAAGATTTTTCTCTCTAATTATGTCTACCTCAGGCTGGTACTAAAACAAAATTGCAGTTAGCAAAAAGAAGGAAAATGGCAAATGTTGGAATGGCTGTGGGAAAAGAGGCACTCTGTTGTACTGTTAGTAGAGCTGTAAACTGGTGCAGATGTTACACAAAGCAATTTGGAATCATGCCCCCCAAAAGTTATTAAACCATGCATATCCTTTGACTCAGTGATACCAGTATTAGGTTTTTTACCCCAAAGAGGTTAGAAAAAGAGGGCAATGTCCCATATGTACACATATACATATGTATATGTGTGTGCACATGTGGGGGGGGGAGAGGGAGAAAGAGAGAGAGAGAGAGAGAGAGAGAGAGCGAGAGCGAGAGAGAGAGAGAGAGAGAGAGAGAGAGAGAGAGAGAGAGAGAGAGAGAGAGAGAGCAGCTATTTTTGTAGTATCAAAGAACTGGAAGCTAAAAGGTACCCGATAACTTAACAAAATATGGTATGTAAATGTAATGGAATATTTTTTGCATTGTAAGCAATCATGAAAGAGAAGACTTGGGAGAAATCTGGGAAGACTTGTACAAACTGATACAGTGTTGTGTATCAGAAATAGGAGAATAATTTATGCTATAACAATATTGTAAAACCAACACTTTGAAAGACTTAAAGATTCTCACCAGTGCATTGATCAACCATGATTCCAGAGGACCAATGATGAAGAATGTTACCAAAGACTCGGTTGTTAAATATTTACCAGCACATCTCTGGGTACTCAGCATCAAATCCAGGGCTCTTTCAAATGTGCAACAATATCTCTTATTCCTATCTTGTCTTCCTACCTGATAGGAGCACCTCTTGTCCTCTTCCTATTCTTAATACACTTTCCTCATCCTATACACAAAGTGATAAAAAAAAAAATCTCAAGGGAATTACTATGTGAGAACTCCATATAGCATCTTGGCAGACTTGTCCCATAATGCAACAGTGTTTAACCACCAAAAAAACCCTGGGATGATAGAAGGGACCTCAGAGGTCCTCTAGGCCAATTTCCTTATTACCATGGCTAGTATAGGTCATTTATTACCAATAGTATTTTGCCACACCACAAGTCAAAAGTTCCCAGTTTTAGTACTGAGAAGCTACCACACATCCTTAAGATCATAATATTGGGAGAAGCAGGAGATTGGTGTAGAAATGTTATCAAAACCCTCATAGAGGTATATATATTTAGTTGTTCAATTACAAGAATTCAATTACAATGCTTCTTATTATCTCAGGAGGTATCACTCATTCATTCAACAAATATGGGATCACAGGCATTAGGGCTGAAAGAGATCTTACAGATCATATAATCCAACTCTCTAATTTTACAAATGAGGAAACCGAGGCCTGGATAGGTGAGGTGTTTGCCTGAGGTCACAGAGGTAGTAAAGGATGGAGTCAGAATTTGAATTCAAATCTTCTAGCTCCAAGTCAAATATTCCTTCTATTTTAGAACTATACTACACATCTATTTATTAAATTTACACATAAAATTAATTTTTATTCTCCTTTGTTTAAAAAAAAACCAAACTTTACTTTCACCCCCACTTCTTCTAGAGGTCAATTCAATACAAAAGAAATTCATCTAGAAAACCACACGGGAAATGAGGGAATGGAGGAAGAGAAAGAAAGGAAGGAAGGAAGGAAGGAAATATCCACATGGGGATCTGGTTACCAGAGAACAGAAAGGACCTAAACACTGTAAGGTAGTTTCACTTACGCCCTGGCCTTGGTACCTAATACAGTGTAATGCTTATACCCTAAAAATCTGTCATAAAACATTTTGAGATAGCATGAAGGAAGGGGAATAACCCCTAAATTAAACAGTGATAAGTTATAGAAATTTAAAAATTCTTAGGAATCACTGGTCTAGACCCTGAGAGCTTCTCTGTCCAAACCTTACCACTTGATACCCCATAAGTATCCAAAAGAATATTAATGTGCTTTTCCATCTGCAAGTCATAAAAGGAAATCTTACTTGGAAATGTATTTATCTTGTCCACATGGGACTAGAGTGGTCTGGCTGCAGTAATCCATTCTCAATGCCTTCTTTCATTAAGAGGAGAGATCTATAGTTGGAAGAAGAGGAGAAAGGTTAGCCTCATTAGGGCCTGGGGACACGTACGTACAAGTTTTTATTTGTGTCCTAGGAAGTCAAACAAAAATACCAACCAGGAAGACTAACGATTCCACTATTGTGTAAAGCATTTCCCCTTGTAAGAACCATTCCCGGGGGCAGCTAGTGGATAGGTGGCACAGTGGATAGAACACTGGCCTTGGAGTCAGGAGGACCTGAGTTCAAACCTGGCCTCAGACATGTTACACTCACTAGCTCTGTGACCTTGGGCAAGTCACTTAACCCCAATTGCCTCATCAAAAAGTTTAAAAAAAAACATTCCCAGAGTCCATCAGAACAAGTAAAGGGGCCAACCATGGCTCTTCCACAGGCCCTGTCATTCAGCAAGGCTAAAAAAATGTCCAACAGTTGGCCACTGTTACAATATACCTATAGCTTCAATGCAATGACCTTCCAGAGGGCCCGAGACCTTTTGGGCACTGTTCATAAAAAAACTTCCTAGAAGCATGTGTTCAGAAGACAGGTGATTCCCCTTCTCTGTGGGAATTTTTGAAGAATAATAATAGCTAACAATGATATAGTGTATATACATATGTATGTATATGTCTGTGTGTGTGTGTGTGTGTGTGTGTGTGTGTGTGTGTGTGTGTGTAGCTAGCTAGCTAGATACATAGATAGATATGCCAGGCATTGTGCTAAGCATTTCACCATTATCTCATATGATCTTCACAATAATACTTGGAGGTAGAGACTATTATTATCCCCATTTTATAGATGAGGAAACTGAAGCAAACAAGGTTTAAGTGATTTGCCCAGGGTCACACAGCTAGTAAGTGTATGAGGCTGGCTCTGACCTCAGGTCTTCCTGTCTCCAGGCCCAGCCCTCAATCCACTGTGCCACCCAGATTCCCCGAACATGTAAAATCTTTTTAACAGGGATAATTCAAAAAACTGTTATAAATTCACGGGTAGAAAATATGTTGAAGCTAGCAATGAGAAATTGGACCGATAAGGTCCAAAAGAAGAAAGAAAGAAAGAACCAGTGAGCTCTACTTCCCAATAATAGGAAGAACCAATATCAACAACCCATACATGTATGTATACGCATGTATATGCACACACATACACACACATGTACACACACAGATACACACAAGCAAGTGTGAGTCACGACAGATACTGAGACAACATAGGGTACAAGTCTTCGTTAAGGAAGAAGAGGAGAAAGGTTAGCCTCATTAGGGCCTGGGGACACGTACATACAAGTTTTTATTTGTGTCCTAGGAAGTCAAACAAAAATACCAACCAGGAAGACTAACGATTCCACTATTGTGTAAAGCATTTCCCCTTGTAAGAACCATTCCCGGGGGCAGCTAGTGGATAGGTGGCACAGTGGATAGAACACTGGCCTTGGAGTTAGGAGGACCTGAGTTCAAATCTGATACCCCAAAAGGTCTCAGGCCCTCTGGAAGGTCATTGCATTGAAGCTATAGGTATATTGTAACAGTGGCCAACTGTTGGACATTTTTTTAGCCTTGCTGAATGACAGGGCCTGTGGAAGAGCCATGGTTGGCCCCTTTACTTGTTCTGATGGACTCTGGGAATGTTTTTTTTTTTAAACTTTTTGATGAGGCAATTGGGGTTAAGTGACTTGCCCAAGGTCACAGAGCTAGTGAGTGGGGGGCAGCTAGGTGGTGCAGTGGATAGAGCACCAGTCTTGAACTCAGGAGTTCCCGAGTTTAAATCCAGCCTCAGACACTTGACACTCACCCACTGTATGACTCTGGGCAAGTCACTTAACCCCGACTGCCTCACCAAAAAACAAACAAACAAACCAAAAAACAAAACCAATAGGAGGAAGGGAGTAAGCATTTATATAGCCCCTACTCCGTGCCAGATACTGCACTACATGCTTTACGAATATTATCTCACTTGATCCCTCACAACAGCTCTGCAAAGTAGATGCTATTATTATTCCCATTTTACAGTTGAGAAAGCTGAGGCAAACAGAAGTTAAATGACTTGTCCAGGGTCACTCAGCTAGTTAAGTGATTTAACTAAAATCTTCCTGATTCTAGACCCAATACTGCCTCAAAGAGAAACTAGGCCATAGGCATGGGTATATGTGAGCTAAGCAGAGGCTTCTTTTCTCACTTCCTGCTTTTCTTAGGATCCTAGACTTGGGGCTGCATTTTAGAAGTCACCTTATTTTTTAGTCACTTTCTTCATTTTACAGATGGAGAAACAGAGGCCCAGAAGGTTAAGTGACTTGTACAAGGTGCAAGTGGTAGAGCCAGGGTTCAAGCCCAGATCCTCTGACTTAAAATCCACCCCTCTCTCCACTGAAGGAGAACTAAAGCCACGGCAGGAAGAACCATTACAAAAGCAGGATGATTTAGTTGGGGAAACTGAGTCACTAAGTAAAAACCCTGTAGCTGCCAGCAGCCAGTCCAGTACACGTGTAATGAGCTGGTCACAAAGGAAGTCTCTGAGGGCAGCTCGGTGGCGCAGCGGATAGAGTGCCAGCCCTGAAGTCAGGAGGACCTGAGTTCAAATCCAGCCTTAGACCAAACACTTGACACTTACTAGCTGTGTGATCCTGGGCAAGTCACTTAACCCCAATTGCCTAAAAAGGAAAAAAAAAAAAGCAAGTCTCTGATAGAAGCAGACTTGGAAAACTGGCTTGGTTGTTAGACAAATAACTTCTTCTTTCTGTAGTTATAACAACCGTACATTGATGAACAGCAGTATTAATCTACTATTTTTTAAGGTTTGTTGAGAGCAGGGGTTCTTAACTTAGGTCTGTGAATTTTGGATTATTTATATTTTGATCATGATATGTTCGATTTCCTTTGTAACCCTATGTATTTTATTTTAGGCATTTAAAAACATCATTCCAAGAAGGGGTGCATAAGTTTCACCATACTGCCAAGGGGGTCCACAACACAGAAAAAATTAAGAGCCACTGGTTTAGAGAATGAAGGCTGGAGGCAGGAGGGGCTCACTGCTTGGGCACTGATGGTATAATGTCAATAGATCACAAAGAGAGGACAGCTGCTGCAGTGGGAGAAGCACTGGATTTGGAAACAAGATGAATGGTCTTCAAAAAGGGGTAGATGATAACAGAAATAGCCTCATGACAGGTGAGAAGACAGTAAGATGTAAGCACCCACCAGGCCTAAATGACTCTTACAGTCTATATGAATTACATCGAAAGGGTACCGAAAGGACTTATGGATGCAACTAAGGAAAATCATGGTGGGTAGGAGAAAGGGTATTAGAATGGAGATGGCCAAATGTTCACCTTTTCCCAAAAATCATGCCGCCAAGCATATCACACTGATTCCTCAGTCATGCTAAGAAAATTAAGACTTCATATTATAACAGTATCTTGATCTGAAGTCTTCAGCCTTTTTTGAACGAAGACCTATAGGTGCCCTTTAAAAAGAACACAATAAAAATAGACAGTCTCTTTAATTTCCTTTAGAAGGCAGAACCAATATATCGAGATGATTAGAAGGAGTTTCTGGCAGCCAAACTACAAATAGCTTTTCGTTGACCAAATGAAAAGAATCGATCCCTTTTGTTTACCTTCATACAACTTGAAAGCGGGAGTGGATAGTTTCAGGAAGCCATGTTTCTCCAAGGGTATATGCCTACATCATCATCTCTTGGTGTGGAAATTCTAAAAGCCCTAAATGGAGCTGTAGTTTTATTTTACCACTATTGTGTAACTTATCTTTTGTTTTAGCAATTACTCTACAATATGAGCTGAACCACTTAAGGGGAAAAGCCTGTTCTGATCTAGCAGGGGGAGGAGCAAAGCCAATGTGAGCTTTTCTCCAAGCAGATGCTTGTACACTTAATAAATAATGTGTCTGGTAGAGCTGGCAAAAATGCAAGAGGAGATTGTTTTTTCTCTTGCACTAGAAAGTCGCTGAACAGCTAGGTGGCACAGTGCATAAAGTACCAGGCCTGGAGTCAGGAAGACTCACCTTGGTGGGTTCAATCTAGCCTCAGACACTTACTAGCTTGTGTGACCCTGGGCAAGTCACTTAACCCTGTTTGCCTCAGTTCTTCATCTGTAAAATGAGCTGGAGAAGAAAATGGCAAATCACTCGAGCATCTTTGCCAAGAAAACCTCAAGTAAGGTCATGAAGAGTCAGACATGACTGAAATGACTGAACGATAAAAGAAAGCAGTTAGGATGAGTTAGGATCAAATGAGATATTTGTAAAGTACTTAGTATAGCATAGGATAGGTACTTAATAAAGTATTGTTCCCTTCCTCACCTGGAAACTAGACAGAAGCAGTGACATATAACAGAAAAAGCAGTGGACTTAACATTGGAAAACAGAGGTTCAAGTCCCAGTTTCATCCCCTCCAAAACTAAACCAATAAATCAGAGCACAAATGTTGATATCAAAATTTCTAATAGGGATTGTTAAACAGTTTGTAAGCATTCAGAAGGAGGGGGAAAACGGTAGCTGCTAGAAGTCAACATGAATTCACTAAAAATAAATTATGGTAAACTACATTTCATTTATGGGTAAGGTTTTAGACTGGTGAAAAGCAGAGTGATAATAAGGCAGCTAGGTTGTTCAGTGGATAGAGCACTGGACCTGGAGTAAGGAAGAGCTGAGTTCAAATCTAGCCTCAGATACCCACTAGTTATATGATTCTGGGCAAGTCACTTAACCTCTTTTTGCCTTAATCCACTAGAGAAGGAAATGGAAAACCACTCCAGTATCTTTGCCAAGATAACCCCAATGACAATATGGTCTATGGAGTCACCAAGAGTTCAACATGAGTGAACAAATGAACAATAGCAGAGGACAAAGGCCTGAATTTGAAGCCAGGAAGGTTAGGGTTCAAGTCCTACTTCTAAACCAGAGGAGCTTTATGATCATGAGTAACTAATTTAACCTCTTACTTCTTCCTCCCCATGCCCTCCTCCTAAAAACCCAACAACTCCAAGACTTCAACTTAGAG